AATAAACAGCATACAATATGCTTACAGTATTATGAATGAAGAACAGAGTTTCATATTTGTGTAAAGATACAACAAAAAAAAAGTAGAGGAAACTACATTTTACCTACATGAGACTGGTACAAGAGACAGGGACAGGAGTAAAGATTTGTCAGTTTTCCTTTTGTAGGCAGGTGCTCTGGTATATACTTAACAATCCCAGCACTTGAGGCTAAGGCAGGAAGATCAACAAGCCCATTCTGTATCCCAGTTTATTATTTTCCTAGAAAGAAACTTAATGGGATAGAGAGAAACAGCTCAGCAGGTAAGAACCCCTACTATGAAAGAGACTGTGGCAGCAGAATAAGACATGACCACAATAGAGAAGGACATGTGACATCCTCCTCTGGCTTCTAAATGTGAGCAGGTATACACATCACACAAGGCACACACACACACACACACACACAAACACACACACACACACACACAAATAAGACTTTCATTGAAAAAAGAAGCTTAATAATTTTCTATTACAGATTTGATCTGGTATCCTATAAACTGTTCCTATAATGTTAATCCTTTGGGTTATATGGCTCACAATAATTCTAGAGTCACACAAAAAAAATGTTAAACTCTAAAATGGTTTAACAAATGTAAATTGTAAATTTCTTTATTAACAATTCAATGATAAAATATTGCATATATATATATATATGTATTTATTTTTAAATGAGAAAAGTATCCCATACAAGCAAAATTGCCTTTGGGCTAGGGAAGTCCAAGTGGGACCTTATGCTGATCAATTTCTGTAATTAGAATATTAAGGTACTATAATAAAGCAGAAACATGTTTATGTACATAAATATAAAACATATATACACACATTCACAAATTCACTCGTTCATTTATCATTGTGTAACCCAGGCAGACCTAGTCTGCCTTTGAATGACATCATCCTTCCTGTCTCTGCCTTCTGAATACTGGGATTACTTATAGGAGTCACCAACTCTGGCTCCCAAAACAGTCTTACTTGAGCCAGGGAGAGAAACACACATATGATTTTTAAACCTCAATAATACTGGACCAGTACCTCTAGTATTATTTAGATTTCCGAACTATTAAAAGGGCTCTAACAAGATGTCTCATATATACAAGCAAATAAATGCTTGAAAAATAATGGTTTACAATGCCTCTCAACTTGTGGGCTGTATATCAGAAATTTACAATTCATAACAGCAGCAAAATTACAGTTATGAAATAGCAATGAAAGTAACTTTAGGGTTGTGGGTCACCACAACATAAAGAACCATATTAAAGGGTCACAGCATTAGAAAGATTGAGAATCACTAGTTAGTTTAGAAGAACTAGAGACCAATAACTCTTCAGGGAAGAAAAAAGGAGGAAAAAGGGATGAAAGGAAAGAAGGGAGAAGAAAATAGAAAACACTAATGAACACGATCAAGTGAGTAAGAGAACCATCCCTCAACAAGATAGAATGATTTCCTAAAGTAAATTCCTAGATTTAGTATAACCAATTCAAATCTTCAAACAGCAACTCAAATGTTAATGATATCCTTTGAAAAAGCATGTGGATTGATTTTTTTTTCTTTTCAAATGAGCATATACCTAAACCAACTGGTACTGAATAAAACACAGTGCATACAAAAGCACTCTTATTGCTAAGATGAGTAAATTTCAGGAAAATGTCTAATGAATATGGCTTGTACAATACTAATAAACTGAAAAACAACAACAAAAAAGTAACTTCCACATAATTACATACCACATAAAATTTCAAGTTGATTTTTAACTAGAAAAATAGAAAATTTTCTAATAATGAAAGGGAATGTATGCTTGTGATTTTAGGCATTTGACCAAATTATTATAAAAGGTCCCAATAGAAAAATAATAACAAGAAACCTACCAAAGTAAAGAAGAAATGAAAGTAGTGAGAGTGAGAAGGACAGACTTCCTAACTGTGATACTAGATAAAGACATACTTGTAAATACACCAAAGCAATCTTGAGTGGTACTCAGTCCTCAGTGTCATAAAATATGAATTTAATCAAAGATATACACTTAACCAAGTGCCATGTACTGTTAAAAACATTACAAACAACAAATCCCAAACTACTAACACCTATGAAAGGAGGGGTTTTTATTCCTTTGTGGAAGACTAGAAAGTACAGAAATCTCAGAACGAGAAGCTATTTGCTCAATGTGTCACAGCACCCACAAAGCCAGAATCTGAACCCAGCATCCTTCCAGACTCCATGCCCTTCCAACCACTAAGCTATGTTTCTTTCCTCTACACAGTTTAAAACAACCACCACCACCACCATTTAGTCTACAAATACATTAAATAAACTGGGTGGTGGTGGCATGTGCCTTTAATCCCAGCACTTGGCAGGCAGAAACAGGTGGATCTCTGTGAGTTCAAGGTCAGCCTGGTCTACACCAAGTTCCAAGACAGCTGGGGCTACACAGAGAAATTCTGTCTAAAAAACACCACAAAACAAATGTACTATGCAAATTCACTCCATATATTACTAAAGTACACAAATAAGAATGATTTTTTTGGTTGGGTTTTTTTCCTCTTTGTTTTATGCTGGGATTCCTTAGGTCAAGCCTACAGTCTACCACTAAGCTATATCCTCAGCCATAAGGATATTTTTGACATTAATTTGAAGACCCAAAGAACAATTATACTATTGTCAATGAAGGGGATTTAAAAAAAAACTGTTGAGAAAACTGATAGGTAAACTGAGTCTGGCAAGAAATGTTAAAGGGATTGGAAAGGAAAGAAGAAAGTGTTCTACATTTAAGGAATAAAGAAACCAATCAATAACATTTAACCCTGTTAAAACCAACAACACTCACTGGAACCCCAGCAATTAACTGCACTGAAATCAATGTCATGTCATGAAAGAAATAAGGGACATTAAATGATCCGGAAAATACTACAGAAGGTAAGAGTGACGTGAACAGTTTTACATGGCAACTGTGTACAAGACTTAGACACAAAAGAGAAAACAGGTTAATGTTCCACTGCAGATAACACATGTGTTCTACTTGCATTTCTACTGCTATAACAAAATACCTGCCCTCCCACAAAAAGCAACTTAGAGGAAAAAGGTTTATTTGGTTTACAAGTCCAGGTCACAGTCCATCATTAGAAAGACAGACATCAAGATAGAAACCAAAGGTAAGCAGAGAAAGAATTAATCTATGCATGCTCAGCGAGTTGTCTGCTTGCTGTTCAGTTCAATTTCTCCTTAAAATAGCTCAGGACCACACCCCTCCATCCTCACCCTGATGGCCTGACTCTCCCCATATTAATTAAGACAATCCCCCTAGAACGCCCACATGCCAACTAACGTAGACAATTCTCCATTGACCCTCTCTTCTCAGGTGAGTCTACACTGTATCAAGCTGACAACTAAAGCTAATCATTCTCATCACAATGAGGAATGTCCCAAATAAAGTGGGTCAAATGAAAAGTGAAGGAATGTCTAACACACAGTAGTTACTCAAATTTCAGTTAAACTAATGAACTAAACCAGAGAACACAGACTTAATACAAAGATAAAAAAAATCAAAGTGGTAGAGAGCTCAGGAGATGTTTCCATGGGTCAAAGTGTTGCCATGCAAGCCTAAGGAACTGAGTTCAATCCCTGGAACCAACGTAAAGATGAATGGAGAAAATTGGCTCCTCAAAGTTGTCTTCTGAAGTCCATGTGTAACTTGTGGCATGCATGTACCCATGCACACATGTACACACACACACACACACACACACACACACACACACACAGAGAGACACACATGACTAAAATTATATTTAAATTTAAAAAATGTTTTAGTGATTAGACAGAGGACATATTTCAAACAATCTTGGGGAACCAAATAAAAACAGCAAACCACAGGCTGAAAGAAAGCTCTGGAGTAAAGACATAGACTGGCCCTGCCCATAAACTTCTACTATCTAGCCAGGCTTATGGATTATGGAAATCTTGTTACACAGACATTTTGAAAGAGACTATGCATAGCAGAACTGAGTAATGGCTAGGATGGTAGGAGTACCACTGGAAGAATGAAGCACAAACCTGATAGTGCTTCTGAACGATTCCCATATGAGTAAGACAATACTATTTGTGTGTCCAAACACGTAAATGATACTGCTCTGAGCTGAATGTTATTAGGCCAGAAGCTGAAGAAATCATCTATATACTCATCAGTTAATCCACTCTGAACTGTTTGGAAAGCTAAGATTCTATTTTGCTCATCTTTTAATCATCATTAACCATTTGAAAGATGTGAAAAAAAATTCAAATATAACCATGAAAGTTGGTAACTGAGAAATAGTTAGTGACTCTGACGTGAGTGAAAAGATAGATTTCAAAAAGAAAATGATGCAACAAACGAGTAATAAAGCTCCCACTTTCTAACAGTCCTACCACCTTCTCAGCCACAGTGGTTATAGTAGTTGTTTTTCTCAGGACTCAGACTGACTAGAAGCAACTTAAGGGCCTGTTAAGCAACTTAAGGGCCTTGAGCTCTGGCTACAGCTCAAGAAGGGATACCGTTCTTATGGTATGGAAGATACAGTGATAGGAACAAGAGGCAACTGATCACACAGTATCTGAACTCAGGAAGCAGACAGGGGTCAGGATGTAGGGCCGGAGGTAATCCCTGAAGGACCATTCCCAGTGACCATTCCTCCAACAGAGTCCCACCTCCAAAAGGTTCTATAGCAGCCCCAAACAGTACCACCAACTGGAACCTCAGCCCCAAACAGCACCACCACCTGGAACCTAAGTGTTCAAACACAGGAGTCTAAGAGGGTTCTTTCACATTCAAACCACAAGAGAGGGTAATCTAAACAAGATAATTCTTCAAATCAGTCTAGTAAAAACATTCTCTTGTTAAAATAATTTAGAATTGTAACATACTTTACTTTTTCTAATTTTTCTTAATTATAAGAAAGATGAACAAAAACTCTTGAATCTTTGAACACTCACCCTGTGCGAGATTGGCCAACCTTATCACAAATATCCAAGATGAGGCCCCAGTCCTCAGCAGTATTCAACTCACTAGTTGCTTTCTCTGTAGATTAGAAAAGAATATTGTTATAAAATGTTATCACATTCAAATCACCAAGCTGTAACATAATTAAATCTCAACCTCAAACCCAAATAGTTGTTAGCACTATTATTAATCAGATTTTGATGTCCATCTCTCACAGGAACAGGTTCAATCTATCACAAGTCTTTCCCATTCACACTTCAGTTGCTCTTTATTTCACTTGAAAGCCATTCATCTTTCTTCATTCAAATCTACCTCTATCTGCAAAATGACTACATAAAGAAATATTTTTATTTTCAGAAAATTCTTAGCCTTACTTGGCAATGAAAAGGACATGGACTAAGGACTGACATATACACCCATTCACACTCACAGCAAAAATCAGTCAGAAGCTTGATATATTATTAAAGACATCAACAGAGACAGACAGATTGGATTTAAAAATAAGAGCAAGATGAACATAGGAAGCTTTCTTAGCAGCAAGTTTTCTAGTAATACAGATATAGAGGGTGGCCAATATAGAAGACATAAGAAAAGAGGATCAAAAAGGAATAATAAAGCCTTAAGAACAACTGAGTTACTACTCAGTAATACTACTGAGCTACAAGGAACTTCACTCTAGAAATGAAAGAGAACAAAGAGAACTGAAAAGGTATGGATGCCAGCTACAGTGACACACACACCTCTAATCCGAACACTTAGCAAGCAGAAGTAGCTGGATTTTAGCATTCAAGGCCAATCTGGCCTACACGGGAAAATTCCTGGCCAGCCAGAGCTACATAGGTGAGACCCTCTCTCAAAAGAAAATATAAACCGTAAAGAGGAATAAATACAAGCTGATTAAAATGTAGGTTGATCACTACTTGCCTTCCTCATGCAAGAAAGCTAGCAACTACCAATGACAGAAAGAGAGGAAGTTTGCTTTCTGGAGATCAAACAAAGCTTTTCTGGACTAGTAGACACCAAAATAGTAGAGATGGACAGAAAAAATAAAGGAAGTATTAATTCTTGACCCAGCATGTAAAGAGAAAAGATGCCATCACAAAAAGCTGGGTGAACTGAAAATGTAGTTCTTTCACTTGCCACCAATTGCTGATTCCAAAACTACAAAAACAGCAAAAAGAAAGAATTCTAATGTAGCACACATTCATCTATCTCCATAAGAACCAATGACGAGCTGGAGGACCCAACATAACAGACTGATGGAGGCTCAATGAGGACAAGTCAGAGTACTTAAAAGCCAAGGGTAAAATCATGGGGTCCACACCTCTGTAATCTCTAACTGTAAGAATTACCCAGGGAGTGTATTTAAACTCACGCATGGAGAAATAAAACCATTTTGAAAAACAGTCAACATTTTACTAATAACTAATCAAATCAGTTTTACCAGAGATTAACTCCCTTGAGGTAGGAAAATTCCTAACTCTAGCCTCCTCAAGTACTCCACTCGAAGAGGAGCATCCATCTACAGTTCACCCTAGCTACACTACTTCATATAATGGGGCAACACTAAGAAGCATTGGTAAAGTTTATGATCCAGAGCACAGGCTCATTAATGTACTTACCACGATGTCATGCTTCTCTGATACACGACTCAGGCCTATGCAAAAATCACTAAAGGTCTAGAGTAGTTCCTATTCTCTAGTACATAATGTTGGGATTTTAGCAAAATTTTACAAGTCATACTAAAAGACAAAAACAACCTGAAAAGACATGCAAGCTTGAGATTCTGACTGATAGATGGTAGAATGCTAGACTTAACAGGCTTGGAATTCTGAAACTATGTTTAATATGTAAGAACAGCCTATAAGAGCCAGGCGTTGGTGGTGCACGCCTTTAATCCCAGCACTTGGGAGGCAGAGGCAGGCAGATTTCTGAGTTCGAGGCCAGCCTGGTCTACAGAGTGAGTTCCAGGACAGCCACAGCTACACAGAGAAACCCTGTCTCGGAAAAAAAAAAAAAAAAGAAAGAAAGAAAGAACAGCCTATAAGAACAAGACAGCAGAAGCAGATAAAAGTTTGAAGAAAGAATAAAAATGAGTATTTAAAACCAGAAATTATAGATAGAAGGGTTAATGAAATTTCTCAGTCAGTGAAGTTGTTTGACATACATTCATGAGAACTTGAGTTTGATCCACGATACACACATTAAAAAAAAAGATGATAATAATGATAAACTAGGCATGGTGATGCACACTTATAATCCCAGTTCTGAGGAGACAGAGACACAGGGGTCCCTGGGGCCAAATGGCCATTCAACCTAACATCAATGAACTACTTTAACCAGTAATAGAACAGACATTCTTCTCTAGCTCACATGCAAACTTACCAATATATACTACATCTGAACCATAATATACAAGTACTAAAAATACAAATCATACAATGTTTGCTCAGATCACAATAGCATTAAACTAGTAATTACTGAAGAATCCTAAATACATGGAGAAAATACTTCATTTAATTAATTTGTCTTATGTGTGTATGTGCGTGTGTATGTATGTGGGAAGTCAGAGGACAACTGACAGAGTCAGTTCTATGCTAACACCACATAGATCCTGGAGATGCAACTCAAGTCATCAGACTTGAAAACAAACAGTAAGCCATCTCATTGGCCCTAGGTTTTTTTGTTTTGTTGTTGTTTGTCATTGTTGTTCGTTTTTGTTTGAGGGTCTTTATAGGATCTCATGTAGCCCAAACTGACTTGAACTCAAAATGTAGCTGAGAATAACCTTCAACTTCTAATTTGCCTTTCTCTACTTCTCAGCACTGAGATTACTAATGTATCACCATGCCTGGTTCATGAGGTTCTAGGAATCAAAACCCAGGGCTTTGTGTTTGCTAGACTATCACTTTACCAACTCTGCTACCTCTTAGCCCAATACACTTCTAAACAACATGAATAAAAAATTTTAAAGCCTCTGTAGTGGTGTGAATAAAAATGGCATCCATAGACTCATATATTTGAATGTTTAGTGGTACTATTTGAATAAATTAAAAGAATTAAGGGTAGGGGGTATGGACTTGTTGGAGTAGGTATGTCCTTGTTGGAGGAGGTGTGTCCTTGTTGGAGGAGGTGTGTCCTTGTTGGGGGAGGTGTGTCCTTGTTGGAGGAGGTGTGTCACTGGGGTGGGTTTTGAGGTTGGAAAACTCCAGTCTCCCCCAACTCCCCCCAAACTCCCATGCTTGTGGATCCAGATGTAGCGCTCAGCTACACGTCTCCAGTACCATGCCAGGCTGCTGCCATGCTCCTTTCCATGATAATAATAATGGACTATCCTAACCCTCTGAAGCTGTAAGCATGCCCAGAATTAAATGCTTTCTTTTCAGGAATTGCCATAGTCATGGCATCTGTTCACTGAAGTGAGAAGTTTGGTTTCTTAAAAACAAAAACAAAACAAACAAACAAAAAACAGAAATATTATGAGAATGTGCTTTTGTTTTAATCCAGGTATGGCAATGTGGGGCTACTATAGACTGTGGGCAGCAGCTGACTATGATTTGCCTCATGCTCCGGCTGGGGTGTGATTTTGCCAGTTGCAGATAGTTTTTGGGACTGTGTGGTTTGAAATTCCAGGGACTTTTCAGAAAACATATGAATGCTAGGGCCCCAAGAGGTGGAAGTAGGGGGGTAGGGGAGACTGTTGGTAGGTTGGTTGTTGTTGGTCACAATTTGTTGAGCAGCCCCATGCACAAAGAAGAAATTAGATATCCTGACTGTAAAGACCAAACTTGCGCCAAGAAACTCGAAGCCTTTAATCAGCAGGAAGTAGTATATATAATACTAATGTCACCCCCTTTCTAATCCCTGACTTTACTCAGCAATCTCTTTCTTTTCCTATCATTTTCTCTCTTATCTATGTTAGGGGTTGAAAGGATAGAAGAAAAGAGTGGAGAAGGGTAGAAGAAGGACCCACAAAGTAGCAAAAGACCAGCAACTCCTCACAGCAACAGAAAAGTGACCAAGACAGCCTCTGAGCAAATAAAAAAATATAAAACCACCTAAAAATAGAAAAGCAATTTCTAACTAAATAAATCAGCATAATTGTTTAAGATCAACCAAATCAATATTTCTAAATAAATACATAATTAAATAAGTCAACATAACTGTTTAAGATCAACCAAATCAATATTTCTCTATGGGAGCTAACTATAAAGAGATAAAAGGTACTAGTAATAGAAATCAAAGGAAAAAGCTCATAAATATTCCAAAATAAATATTGCAAACTCTATGCTCACAAATTTTATCACTTGGATGAAGCAGGGTAACTTTTTAAAGGTATATACCCAGACAAAAAGAAAATAAACAGGCTACCTATTAAGAAAATTAAACCAATAAAATTAATAATCTTTCAAACAACAAAGAATCAGGCCCAGTTGGGTTTATCAGAGAATTCTACAAAACATTTAAGAAAAAAAGAATACATCAATTCTCTACAATCATTTGCAAAAAGACAGAAGCAGAGAGAATGCTTCCTAACTTAGTAATGCTTCTAGAGTTACTGTAATATTCAAGTTAGGTAACACTATTACTTGCAAACTATGAATATATCCTTTCCATAGTTACAAATGCAAAAACCCCCAGCAAAATATGAACAAACTGAATTCAATAATGTTTAGAAAAATCACATACATTGACTAAGTGAGATTTATTCTAATCATGCAGGACTGGTTTAACACCAAGGCTATCATTTTCTGCAACATGATTAGAAGACTTCTTTATACTGGAGGTGATGGCACACACCTTTAATCCCAACACTTGGGAAACAGAGGCAGGTGAATTTCTGAGCTTGAAGTCAGTGGGGTCCACAGATCAAGTTCCAGGATAGCCAGGGCTAGACAGAGAAACTGTGTCTCAGAAAATTAAAGACTTCATGTGTTCTGTTCAGCTCAATATTTAAGACTAAAACAAAATGAAGAGGGTTGAGGAAAAGACTCTATAGTAAACTGACCACCAGAAAAACTTACTAAGATGAAGTTCAAAGTCAAGACCTAACTCTATATTATCATCATTTCGTGTGT